ATTTTATGAAAAAATCCTCAAAAGCATAGACAACAAAATCAAAAATAGTCTGATATCCAACTGAAGAGTTTCCACACAGCAAAGGAAACAATCATCAGAGTGAGAAGAAAAAACAACAGAATGAAAGAAAATATTCACCAATTCATCTAATATCCAGAATACACAAGGAACTCAAACAACTGAACAACAAAATTCCCCCAAATTATCCTATTGAAAAATAGACAAATCATCTGAACAGACATTTCTCAGAAGATGACATAAATGGGGGCCAGAAGATGGTATAGAGGTTAAGGCGACTGAGCAGTTCAAGTCTAAGACCCAGTGGCTTGAAAAACACACTAGCCATGTGTGCATGAGTGTCCAAAATCCTGAGAGTTGAATGGAGGAAAAGGGGTTTTGGTGTGGCCATCTTCCCTGGAGGGTGATTTCTCACTCCCCCTCCCCTTCCTGCTCTCTCTGGCAAATGTACACACCCTATAGGAAACTAAAAAATTAAAAATTAAAAAAAGACACAAATGACCAGTAAGTATATGAAAGAAATGCTCAGTTGGGATGTCCCTGTAATGAAGTGGTTAAGTACTGCAGACAGAAGGTCAAAAGGCCAGATACTCCTAGCCCACCAAGGTATGAGTCTCAGCCCTGGCAGCTTGAGAAAACACAACAGGTGTGCACACACAACACCCAGGATTCTGAAAGAATGAAGAATTAGAGGAAGGAGGATTGCACTGCGATCAGGTTCTATTGCTGGGTGGGTGCTTTCTCTCTCTCTTTCTCTTGTAAGCATGCACATGCCCACTGGCATTTTAAAAATGTTCAGGCCAGCCAGTGGCATGGTGCTTAAGGTGGCTGGATACCATGTGACTGACTTTATAATTCATGTCCCAGAACCGATGGTTTGAAAAACACATCAGGTGCATGTGCTTGAATGCCCAAAAATCCCAAAATGAGAACTGGAGAGACATGGCTGTAGTTTGACCATGCACTATGGGGTGTGCTTTCTCACTTTCTTTTTCTCTTTTTTCCTCTCTTGCTCTGTCTGTATCCAGTGAGTGTACGTGTCCTCTAACAAATTAAAAAAGAAAAATGCTCAGCATTGCTATTCACCAGAGAAACGAAACTCAAAACCACAATGAGATTTCAGTCAGGCATCCTTATCTTATCCCCTCTCCATTTTAATAGGAATGCTTCTACAATTTCATTAAGTATTAGGTTTACTGTAGGTTTCTGGCTGTTATCCTTTATTGTTAAATTGGTATTTTTTTAACTCTTACCTTTTTGAGACTTTCTAAAAATAATCATGGTTGTAAAATTTTATTAATTGCTTTTTTATCTCTAAGTTGGACATACAACTCTTTTCCCTTTACATTGTTAATGCACTGAATTGCATTGATAGCTTAAAAAAAGCCATTTCTGTTATGAAAAATTTCAACTATACACAATGATCAAATGTACAATAACCTCTTACCTACCTGTAACTCAGTCTCAGTAGCCATTAATATTTTGTCATATTTGTTTCAACTATCTCCGTTCCTACTTTCATGCTGGAAAATTTAAGCTAATCATGAACAACATATGAATTTATTCTTAAATATTTCAGTATGCATAACAAAAAGATTATAATAAAAGGACATGTTATTATATTACCACAAAGCCATTGTCACATTGATACCCAGTGAATATTCAGATTTTTCTAATTATTTAAAAAATGTTTTTCCATTGAGGTTTGTTGGAATCAGAATCCAACAAAGATCAATTTACCATATTAGGTTATAGCTCTTAAATTTATTTAAGAATTTTAAAAAGCAAAAACCAAACATTAGCTCTTTCCTTTTACTTCAGTGCCATTGGCTTGTTGAAGAAACCTGGCATTTGTTATGTAGTCTCTCCCACATTCTGGATTGAGCTGATTACTTTCTTGAGGTGTTGTCATACTGATTTGTGTATTGCTTGTATTTCTTGTAGACTGGAGGTAAAATTTAAAGACTTGATTAGTTTCAGTTCTTTTTTTTAACTTTATTTATTTATGTCATCAATGAGCAAAAGCAAGAGAGAGAGAGACACAGGGAGACAGCACTCTCAGCAGGCTCCACCCCAGCTCTAAACAACTGCAGATCATGGACACACTCATGCCTGGCATACTCAGGGAAATCTCTAGACAAGAACCCAGGATTCTTCAACGTGGATCTGCCTCACAAAGCTGTGTTATACTGTGCCACCAGTTCAAGTTTCTTTTATTTTTATTTGGCAAGAATAATTCATAGTGATACTATATACGTCCTATTATATAATGTCTGAGTGCCTCGTTTTCAGTCATACTACAAGTGGGTTGAGGTAATAGCCTGAGCCCTTCTTTGTAACATTCTCTATCATCTTTTAACCCAATGTCTTTACCATTCCTTTGATAACTGTTATTTGATCAGTTATTTCATTAGGGGTTCCAAAGTAATTATTTTCTAATTCTGCCTTTATTTTGAGATCTTTTAGCTAGAATTCCTCTGTCAGAACTATGCCTCATATGCTAGGGTTATTTGGTAAGCCTAAAATAAGATTTTGTAGAAAAGA